GTGCACGAGCGCAAACCCCTCCCTGCATCCTCCCATGATAAATATGGTAATGACTACTTGTGCTCTTTTCAGAGGTAGACCAGAGAAATGGAGTTATTTGCAAGTTTTTCCTCTAGAATTAATAACAAAAGAAAAACAAAATAGAGTGGGACAGTTTAACTGACGCGGTTAACGCAGTGGAGTTTGAACATCGCACTATGAGTGAATTAAAAAAGAAATGGTCCGATGTAAAGATGTAAAATTTTGTAGTGTCTATTTAGGCTATTTAAGTGCAAATAGCACACCTAGTTTGAATGAGCTAGCTGAGTGATTCCCGTCCATCAGCGTTTAATTGACTGAGACAACATAACTAAAGAGAGCAGCAAATAGCAGCGTGAGTGGTGTAGCTCGTAAAGCGTATGTTTTACACAATCGATTATGAACCCAGTTCGAATCCAGCGTCTGATGAACTCATTCTTCTTTTTCCCCTCACTACATATAAGATTTTCCTACTCTTCGTCATGAGGAAGACAAGTAGGACTCATTATTAAGTGTGTATATTATGAAAAACTCAGATTGATAGAACTGAACTGGATTGGAGAGGTGTTATCCAAATCATATGCATTATAAGTTAGTAAACATTAAAAACACCCTTAAATATAAATTTTAGTACTGCTTCAGTGAACCTGAACAAGTATATTAAAATCCATTAATTTTCACTAGTTGTATTAGAATTTTTTTCAAAGTGTGCTTTAAATGCTTTAAAAATAAGCTAAATCTCTGTAGACTAGTAATATATTTACTGTATATCATTTATTTTTAAAATGCAAGCAAAACATTATAGATTAATTTTATTTAAAAATATGATATTAATCTTATTTTTTAATTCAACTATAGGGATGCGCGAGGTAGAGGGCTACAAGACATTGAGCCCAGGGGCCTCCGCTCTTATCAAGGCAGTGCCACTGGCATTTCACCTGCCTAATCACCTGCTCTACAACTGACCGAGTGCCTGCCACCTTGGAGCCTCATCCCAACCATGTGCTTTGTGAGGATGAATTAATCATGTGTTGACCAAGCCCATTTTGCTACAATATTTGTTAAGCGCATTTGAGCATCACATATTATCTGCACAATTATTAAATGGAAATGTTCCACCCAGAGAGGGTGAACCAAATACACAAGAAAAGGAAGCAAGAGAAGGAAATGAGGATGCATAAATAAGAACTGAGAAGCCCCAGCATGTGTTTCTCACACACATGGACCGCATCTGTCAAAAGTGACAACAGCTTTCGCTAAGGTCTTTCAAAAGAACTTTAGGTCTTGCATCACAAATAGACACTAGCAACCAAAGATGCTTCTGCAACCCACCAGTTGAGCAACTGGGCAAGAGCATCCTATAGATTTTATTCTGTAATCAGGCCTGTATTCAAACAATCTGGTGAAAAATACTGCAATATTTATTAGGGCTGCGACTAACGATTATTTTAATAATCGATTAATCTGTTGATTAATTAATAAATCGGATAAAAATAAAATAAAAAGCATAAATTTTTAACGCTTTATTCAAAAAGTCTCATCCCTGAGCTGTTATAATAAAATAAAATAAAAAACTAAGTAGCTTTGTCCGGTTTTCAATCCAAATATTTAAAAAAAAATAATCACGATACATGAAATAGCACAAGAAATTATGTCTTGTTTTCTGAATAAAAATAAATCCTCAAAATTAAGTGATTGCTTAAAACAAGCAAAACTATTTGCCAATTGGGTAAGAAAAATAATCTTAATGAGATATTATCTCAAACAGAAGTTTTAAGCATCAATTTATTTTCTCATGCCATTTTTCTTCTTTTTTTTTGACATATGGATTGCAAAATTACTAAGTAAGCTTTTTTTTGCAGTGTAGCTATACATGACACAGATGGAAAAATGAAAAATCCAAAAAAGGCTAGTGAATCAAAACGTGTATTTAGTCTTGCAATGCAAAGTAACTGCACCACCGCTGCTTTACTGTTGTTAACCCTTTCACTGGTGAGTTTAATATATTCTATCTGGAACTGAAAGTGAGTTTTGTTAGGCGACCATTATTTTAGAACGTTCACATTTAATGTTTCTGTAGTGACGTGACATGTTTGTCACGTGACACACCGCAGGATTTTTCTGTTTTAATACAAAATATTCACACGCTTGCTCATTATATTAACTACCTGATATTCCAATTCACAAAAAATGTGTAAGTGAGTGTTTTTTTTAGTTTAAAAGACATATAAATCGTGATCTATATGGTGAGATGGGCATCGCCATGTTTACTCGCGGCCACGTGTTTGCCTCATTCATAAAAGCAGGACACGCAGGATTCAAACGTAAATTCACTAGTTAATCCTGCATGCAAGCAAGTGGCTGTCCAGCTGGGAGAAGAATAGTTTGAACTTTATTGTTCCTTTTAATATGTGTATCTGATATGAATAATACACATTGACAAATTATATTTGAATGGATTGTTATGCTGTGTTCATACCAGACACGGAACGCTCGGATAAATCGCGCTATTCGCGCGTAAATAGCCGCGTGAACATTTGAGTTTACTCGCTTCATACGCGCGTCAAACCCCGCTTCATTCGCGTGTCAAATTCACATCAGAACAGACGCGGATTCGCTTGATGGGCAGGGCTTCTGTCTGCCCGAAGACTCTAGCTTCATAGCTAAATGGCTAACATGAATTTTATGAAGAAAATAACTAGTGTAATAAGTGTTTATGTGCTTTATGAAGACTGAAAAACAGCGTCGATACGTTTAGGGTCATGTCAGAGTCCACTACATTCTTTCAGAGGTGCATCCAGCTCTGTGAGCTCATAAACTTAACCTGGATGACAGAGGCTTTCAGCGGTGCCTCTGACTGAGCCAAGCGAGTTTGATGAACTGTTGTCGGTGAAGGCTGGAGGATTTCCCTAGGAACACCGACAACAGGTTCTACGTCACAATCACGCTCACACAAGAGCAAGCTTCTGATTGGTTAAAGCGGCTGGAATTTACACAGAAGTTCAGATTTTCGAACTCGAGAAATTCGTGCAAAACACTCGTTAAGCGCGTCAAACGCGCAAAATGCACAATTCGTACCGCGCAATTTGCGCCATTCGCGCCGCAGGATGTCTATTCGCACGTTTGCATTGACTTAACAAGCAAATCACTCGCGCTTGACGCGCGTTCCACATCTGGTGTGAACGCAGCATTCGACTTCCCTAGACTTTATTGTGTGTTTTACAAACTTAAAATGTAATTTTAAAATTGTTTTACTAATACTTTTGTGTATTTATATGTCTAAAACATAAAATAAGCATTAGGTGGTTAAAACACGGCATAATTGTGATAATATGAAAAGTCTTTCTCTGGCTCAGCCCCAGACAACGTGCCAAAGCTCAGTTTGAATTTTTCAGCTGCCTCCATATAACAAGCTAATGCTAACTTGTCATGCTTGTCAAGCTTCATAAAGAGTAAACACCAGCACCAGGGACTTTATGTTCCTCACATTAAAATGAAACAAAAGTAGGATTCTGTAGTGATTTACCCTGTTGTTGAACTCTCTTCCTCCTTTCCCTGTCTTTGAACTCTGCATCGGTGCATGTGAGAGAACTAAAGTGTTTTTTTAAATCATCAAACATTCCCGTGCGATATATCAAATTGATTATGACATTTTTTGCCAACCCTTTTAGTAATTGCATTTTATCAGCAGCCCAAATATTTATGAAAGAAACTAAAAATATTTAAATGTCAGCTTTTCTTCCAATTTCACACGCATGTGCATGTATTGGACTCAAAGTACAACCTTACAAACTTGACCTGTGGTCAAAATCTGCTTGTTAAGTTGTGATGTATCGGTGACATACGGACGTACTGTTTCCAGGTCCAAGCCGCTACTCATTTGAATTGCAAAAGTATTCGTTTATGACCACTTTTTAGTCATATCACACATTAAAGTGAATCATATAAACAATCATAGTGTACACATCAGTCTCTCATCTTGCTGCATCACAAATACCAAAATTTTAACAATTTATAAAAAAAGGAATTACTTTCTGGCCATCTGATATTAGGCATGGACATTTATATTGCGATCATGATTTTCGAAAGTAATACATCGCTTTGTAAAATGTTATTATTATCAATCTCTGGACTTGCTGCACCAAATACCAAAATTTTTAAAATGTTTAAAAAAAATCACTTTCTGGCCATTTGATATTAATCATGGGACATATATATGACGATAAACGTTAACTGTTAAAACATTTGAACTCCTGCAACTAGACCATGTGTGATTGGTCGACCAGATGTGATGTATTCCAGTGTTGTCTAAGCAGATCCATGCTTGCAAGATGAGAAATAATAATTTTTTTTCCGTTATTTTTTGAATAAGAAAAAATTGTATATTTAAAAAAACATTTATATTCATACATTTTTGTGTAGTTTCTTGTATTTATTCATTTAACCATGGTAAACACACAGAGAATAAATGCTTTTGCTTTTGCATTCCTTTACCACCATGACTATATTTATCATTTTATATTTAAATACACCAAAACAACATTAACATTATACTAGACACTGTAAAAAAGGTCATTTCCAGACACTAGACTTTTCTGACAGGGTATTCGAGTATCATCGAATGTCGTGGGACTGCTATACAGGAATAATTATTATGGATTATAGATAGCGAAAGTTAGTGTTTTTTATTTTAGTGTTTTTTTTTTTTTTAAGCATGATGGTAAAACATGAATGCACGTGAATGCATAAAAAACATATGCTTGTTTGTTGTAAAAATTCAGAACATTGACAAAAAAATACTAGTTTGTGCATCTCCTTACGTCCATGTGCAGCTATGCTGCAATAGTAGATGGTATATTCTGAGAAATTGTACCGCTTCACGTGAACATGCAAAATGAGGGGTAGGGTTAAGAGGAAGGGCTAAGGGGCAGAATTGGGATTGGGCCTTAACAAACGGATACTATATCCAAAAGCAGCTGTACCTGTTTTCTGGGTCAGGCACAGTCATACTGCGTGTGATGTAGCACATTTTGAGGGGGATACATCTGCGGTCACCCTGCAAGCACTGTGACGGAGGGCTGGGGAGCTCGAAGTGAGGACTGCCAAGACGAGGGGACTCAGGAGGGGGTGTCTCCCAGCCAATCTCAGACACCGGTGAGCCTTTTTTCACATAAGGCGTCGCTTCCCGCATATACTTCACTGAAACAGACAAAACAAAGAAAGAGGTAATTTAAGGGTCACACAAATACTGAGAGTATCTGTGAACAGTTCCCATATTCTCTTTAAAAACAATACCATTAGATGCACATATTCAAACACATCAACATCAAACAGCTCTGCAGGTTAATTTTCCATCACATGTGTGCACTAGGCCCTAACCAGTCAAAAATGAAAGCAGGAAACCCCTACGCAAACCGCTTCACTCCCACAGCTATCCTGAGCGAGGAAATCAATTCACCGCACATTTGCATAGTATCCTATAGCTCTTCTAGACGATTACTGCCGGTTTTATGACAGGGCGATGAACTGGAGGCCGGAGCATCTGCACTTAGACTTGCTGATAAGATGCAATAAGGGAATCACAACTGCCAAGCTTCTCAGGTGAACGTCACGCTGAGGGCCAATTATTGCCATTCCGAATGACAGCTTAATCTTTACAGGAAGCCACTGACCATGTGAGCGCAGTGTTATTTCACAACACTCGAGGCATTTCAGAAGTAGTCATAAAGGAGACATACTGCAATGGGCAAACTGGCAATTTGGCATGACATCAGTTTAGTTAAAACAATCATTCTGAATGCCTCGGGGTAGCATATCAGTTGCATATTGCATAAACACTCTTGCACACATAATATGCTGTGGTGTGGTAAGTAAACATTCCAGAGCACAGGGCCAAGAAATAAACGATCTTCAGAAAGATTTATGACAGGAACACTTTGAAAATGCAGTCTGGTAGTAGGCATAAGAACACAGTTCAGTGTCCCATTACGCTTCAGTGTGCCATTATGCTTTTTAAAGCATTAGAGACACAAGCTCATGTATATTTGTAGGAAGACCAACTAGAAATGCTAGATAATTCAGTGGCTTGGCATACTTTTTTAGGCTTACCATGTTTTTCAAAGGTTTTAAAACATATTTTGGGTTTTTGCCTTTGTGCTTCAGACTAATTTCCTAACTGTCTTACTCTTATCTGTTATACATTTTTAAACTACTAAAAAGATTAGAAACATTTCATTGATGATGTGATAAGTGTGCATGTATTTCCTGAATTTGTCAACTACTATCAGAATTAGATAGAAGCATCCTTTTTAGATTTTATAAAAGGGGCAAACTAGGAGCCCTTTGAATTGTTTTCTGATATCTACATCGTAGGTATGTGGCTTAGGTAAGTAAAAAATTCTGGAGAAATGGTTTATATGCTCATTTTTAAGCCAAAACTATATCCTGACAGGGTTTCTGCAGGTTTATCAAGTCAACTTTAAGACTTTTTAATACCATTTAAGACCATTATAAATGAAATTTAACACTTATGCATGACTAAACACTAAGGATTTTTCAAATTGACCAGTTGGGCCAATGGATTTTTTTTATTTATTTTTTTATTTCCTACAAAAATCAAATGTAATTATTTCTTAGCCACGTAGTTGTATACGCTTTTTTTAAACATACAAGTTTTTTTTTTAATGACAAGTTTAACAATAGCTGTGTTTCCATCCAAAACTGGATTATTGCATAAAATATGTATGAATAAAGCAGCATTTCCATCTAACGAGTCAAAGAAAACCGTCACTTCCTGATTATCCGGTGCCAAATATCAACAGTAAAAACAGAATTTACTGTGGTAGGAGAAGCTGTGAGAATCCTTTCTTCATTTAATAAATGACTTGTGCCTCAGAAGGCAATCCTGACACGTTTAAAGATGTGAGTCAAGGAGCACAGACGCTCATAATTCTGGAGGTAATTAATAATATAATAACACTAATATTGAAATGGTTAAGGCATTTATGAATGACCAAAACAACAATACAGATGTTTTACAATGTGCTCAGCCTGCTGGTTTATCTATTAACACACATTTTTATCATCACATGCATCTCTTATAACAAAAATCACATGACTTTTTTTCAATGCGCATACTAGAATTGGTGCAGTTAAAGTGTTTCCCTCACAGTTTGCAAACATGTTTTCTAATCGAATAAAAAGTTTATTCTACCCAGTTCTGCGCAAATGTTTTTTATGCACACCTCCATAATGTGCGTAAAAATTGGTAGATGGAAACGTAGCCATTGTTGAAAGTATATTTAATACAGAGAAAATTAAATGAATAATCCAAAATATATGCAGTATTTGTTGGCTTTTGGTCCTAATGGATTAAGTATAATTCCTATTCAATTTAATGTGTTCCTGCTATAAAACCTTGTTATTTATAAATAGAACCTTGGTTCTATTTATAAACAATGTCCACTTTGTTCTTACTTCTGTAAACAGTTTTATTTAAATAGAAGATCGTGTGAAGGGATATGTTGCTCTGTTGTTATCATGAGTTATTGTGTAACTGTTTATAGTCTAGGGATTTTAATTTGGATGTTAATTTAAGTCTTCGCAATAAAAACACTTAGAAAAAAAAGTTTTATTGAGATTTATCTAGACAGAGGAAATTTGAGACTTGTTTAAAAGACCTACAACACAATATTTCAGTGAATTTAAGACTTTTAAGACCTCGCGGACACCCTGTCCCTAGAACCAAAAGGTCTATATTGAACATATTTGGAATAGTCATGAATATTAATAGCTCTCTTACAGCGCAGTGCCTGCTCTCTTACTCAAAAACACATACGCACACGCATTCTGATGTACGTTGAAATAAACATGTACAAAATAATAATACTTCATTTCACTACTACAAATATTTTAACAAATTAAGTAATTGTCTTGGTAAATATTTTCAACTGAAGTGGTAGAGAAGTTTTTTTTTTTTTTGCACTAGCTGTCTTCAATTCATCAGAAAAAAAATCTCCTTAGTTGTGTTGTGGATGCATTATGGGCAAATTTATAAGTAGTCTCAACAAACGGGACCAACAGAGATGTATACAATTTGTATTTTTAAGCTTTAACATTCATGAAAACACAGCCAGGGATTATGTCAACCTCTGCGTAAAAAGATGACTGTAATAAAGTGTATTTCTGTTCTTTCACTCTACAGAAAAAATGGCAGTAAGAGCTGAGTGATATGACACAATGCATAAACCTGCATTAAACACCTTTACTCAGCAGTCTACATGTGTTTGTTGCTTCATTACAAACATCCACGCAAATTTTACAATATATTAACAAAACATGAAATTACCCTGTATCTACCGTTTTCAAAATAAGAGTCCCATATACATAGTCAGTTTATTCCGCTTGTTAAGTCGTGACGTCTGGAATACTGTTTTAGGGTCCAAGCTGCTACTATAAACTGTTAGTTTATGACCCCTTTTTAGTCCTATCACACATTAAATACTGTGAATTATATATAAAATCATGGCGTACACAACAGTCTCTGGACTTGATGCATCACAGACACCAATATTTTAATTTGTTAGAAACTAATCATCACTTTCTGGCCATCGGATATTAGGCATGAATATATATATATATATATATATATATATATATATATATATATATATATATATATATATATATATATATATATATATATATATATATATATATTCTATATATATCCGAGTGATCGGCGTAACCCACGGTGCATGCAATAGGCGCACTTATTGTTCTCCACACTGTTTCTGTTGCTCTGCAATAACACTTCAGAAACACTAGCTGGCAGTAGATGTTAATGTTCCTCTGTGTCAAGTTTCTTCACTGGTGTTTTGTTTTTTCTGAACACTACCTTAATGTACATGTGGCTCAAAATCGCTCATTTTGAGGCGGGAATCAGCAGATGTGCAACAACATTAATCATAAGATAAACCCAAAACAAAAGTTTCCATCTAGGGCTCCTTCACGAGACTCCACATTTGTAACCACTCGCTCCAACAGGCTTGCACGGCTCTCACCTCTGCCAACACGCAGTCAGCACTACCAAGCCGACCACAGAGCTTGCACTACGCGTTGTTGCGTAGTGTAGTTAAATTTTTTGAGAGGTGCGCGTCAGCATCGCCGAGGGCTATGCGTCCACTCATAGGCTGCGCTGGAGCATACACGACGCAGAAGTATAAATCAGCCTTAATGAACCTGCATGCAATGTAACAGTCTATTTTGTTCTAATAGACCTGTTTTTTAAAAGGGTTTTACACTCGCTGGATTTACCTGAAAACAAGGAAACAATTGAGTTGTGAGGCTCACATTATGGTAATTTCCATGTACTGAACTCTTATTATTCAGCTATAACCTAGGTATATGCAGATTTTACATTTAATGTGGTCAAGACTTATAGAAGTACTTTGGCTGTATGATTCTTAGAAATCAAGTACACACCTCAGAACATTCATTAGCCACTCAATCAAGCATTCAAAGACTATTTTTCCCATTAAATTAGTGATGCACAATATATCAGTGCCCATATTGGTAGAAGTCAATAGATTATGCATTATTTCCACTTTACACTGCTGGCCACGATAGTTTTAATTTTGTTTATTTTTTTCAACATAAGATGTCATTGTCAGATAAGAGAACTTCAAAACTGTTACTTGGGAATGATTTTCGGAAAAGATGTTTCCTAGCAGTTTCCCTGATTTGTCCAGTTAAGGTTAAAAAATAAAATCAGGAGTCCATTTTATGTGTTTGGGTTTTGTTTTTGTAATATTTGCTAAGAAAAATGAAGAGCACAGTCTGAATATCCTCCTACTGGTCCTATCCTGTTGGTTCTCACCTTTAAAATATAAGGAGTTATTGTTAACAGCATCTGACAAAATTTCCACACCTGTGCATCCGTACTTTGAATTGTTGCATTTAATAATCTATCTAGAAGCTGTTTATGCTTTCACTCATGTTGATTTGAAATAAAATAAAAATGATGACAGCGTACTGTCTTTCTTCACCCTGTGCTTTCATTTCTAATTAAAAAAAACATTTTAATAATCAATGGTATGTGTTACTATCATGACCTTCAGTTTACATGTTAACACAGGAAACACAACTTGCAATGCACCTGGGTCACTAAATGCCTGAACGATAATCCTCGTCTTTACACC